ATTTGCGTCTCTGTGCTAATAATGTGGTATGGCAACATGAACTTATGTACATACGTAGGAAGTTCTACGTTGCAACTGACTGACTGACAGAGTGCAGAGAGCTACTGTTTTCATTTGTGCATAATATTCAATGATCAACATTCAAATGTCAATGTCAATCTATGTATAAACAAGTGAGTTTTGTTAACAAACTGTTATTCAGCGGTTCTTCGTCTTCTACTCCTTCAATGACATGAGAAGAATAAACAGGAAAATCGGAAAGAACTAGAGAGAAAGGCGAAGGACAAAATAGTTTGGACAATAGTTGTCGGCGGCTTATGATCCATTGTGGGTAACAGGCATAAGTAAGTAAGTAAGTAAGTAAGTAAGTAAGTAAGTAAGTAAGTAAGTAAGTAAGTAAGTAAGTAAGTAAGTAAGTAAGTAAGTAAGTAAGTAAGTAAGTAAGTAAGTAAGTAAGTAAGTAAGTAAGTAAGTAAGTAATTAAGCAGGTGAGTTTTGTTAACAAACAGTTATTGTATCGTTCTGTCTCTTCGCCTTCTCATTCCTTGACTTGTGCAAATCTCAGTTTTCTTCAATTCCATGTAGTTACCTTTAATTCTCCACAAATCATCGTTAAATTGTCTACATTATTGCATTATACTAACAAATATCCTGATAATTTACATGTACTAGTTAGTTTAAATACAAAAAATTCAAACCAAAACGTAAACTTGAAGAAATACAAAGAAACACCCACCTTTTCTACAATTTTAATTAAATCATCACAAACACATTTCAAATAATCACGCAATATTTCAATAATAAGTTTGTAGTGAAAGAGGAATAGAGTGAGTGAGTGAGTGAGGGAGCAAGCGAGTGAGCGAACAAGCGATACTGAGAATTCTTTTGTCTTGATAATTCACTTACAAATTTTACATGGTTGATAGTAGTAACAGAACACTTTAGGTAAACACTATTGTATTTGTATACATATCTGCGTGTTTGTGTGTGTGTGTGTGAGTGTATGCCCATAGTTTATAAATCATTGAAATCATTCAAGTTTTGTTTCAGGTGAATAGATTAAATACAAACAAATAGAAATTGTTCTATCAATGATGGGTGGGTATTTTCAATGGAGAATAAAAAATTGTTAGAAAGGAGAATAAAAAAAAGAGGAGGATTCATGTTATAATTGGATTTTTAAGAAATTTGCCAAATATCTTTCATTCTGATATATGTATTTATGATCTTGGCTTAATACTATGATTATAACTGCTAGAATACTCTACTACTACTACTACTGCTATTACTACCCACATTACTACTACTGATATTACTACTACTACTCATACTACTACTACTACTGTGGTTAAAAGCCGTTCCGAACACTTAGGATACCGCGCCTAGCATGGTCCAGAATAATGGTACGTGTTCATGGTTGCAAGGCTGTGGATGCGGTTAGCCACTCTGGGGGATTAGGACTGAACGTTTTTAAGCCTGAATCCCGTCCATCGAGCGGAGGTAAATTTGAAATATTGAGATGTAGCTCTCCAGGATACTTGAAGGCGGCCCTAGACGATTTGTTTGGGGAAGCACTGTTGGATACCGGCCCAGTGGTCTGATGGTTAGGCGTTCGCGCACAATTCCGAAGGTCCTGGGTTCGAATAATGCGAAGTGCAGGAGTCGTGGATACTCACTGCTGATGAGTTCCATACCAGGACGAAACATCCGTCCAGTAATTTCATCTGTGTATGCTACTGTGATATGACAACTTGAACTGATGTACCAAGTTCTACATTGTATTTAACAAAACTATCACATTGAATATCATATCAACACTTGTTGTGTTGTCTTTTCCAACTGAACTTAGCTTTTAGTCGACATCATTCACATTATCTTTGACTATAGAGTTGAATATAATTTTAAAATCGACTTTGTTGTTTGATTGCTTGCATTGTGTGCATAAATGTTCATGTTGTTATTTGATTAAGACATTTACTGCTTGTAAAAAAAATAATATACATAAATTTTCTTTTGTAGTAGTCTGAAACAGGAGATATTCATCCCAATACTAATATCCACATTACTACTACTACTACTACTACTACTACTACTACTACTACTACTACTACTACTACTAATAATAATAATAATAATAATAATAATAATAGTCATATAATTAGTGATAAAGATAATAAAAGGACCACCTAGTTACCATGTTTATCATGTCAAAAAAACACAACTATTGTGCTTGCTACCAGTTGATATGCTTGAAATTATTAAGAGTTATACTCGTTTCGAAGTATGCTTAAAATTATTACGGGTTTACCTTAGTCAAAATAACGAGAACAAAACAATGAACCAGCGTCCAGGTAGGCTACTGTGATCCCTTGAGTACCAGCAAGAAGTCTTGATAAAGAGTAGAAGTTGCATTCTACAAACATCCAGCAGGAACACAATGAATCTAAGCACACAAATTGCGTTCATTTATACACCATAGAGACGTTCTTGGGACAGTCACAAAATAGCACACTAAAATGACACAGTAACCGATCACAGATAAGGATTTCCCCAGTGGGAAATGTGATCTCAAGGTCAACTGATCAATCTATGAAATAAATCCAAAATAAAGATATTTATGAAGCGAGTTCTGGGGATCTAACATCCCTAAAAGTAAATGAAAGCAAGGATCGATGATCCGGCGATACAACAGGCTACTTTAATGCGAGCGTCCCAAGGCCCCACTAAGTAGAAGAAGAAGAATTCTTGATAAGGCATAGAAAGTGTATTATACAAGAACCCAGAAAATATGAGGTTGACAAACACACAAATTGAGTTTATTTATACATTATAGAAACGTCCTTGGGGGAGCCGCAAAAATAGCGTACTAAAATAGCACATCAACCAATGACAGCCAACGATTTTCCTGGTGGGAAATGTAATCCCAAGGTCAACCGAACAACCCATGCGCGAAAACATCAAAATCCGAAATTAGGACCTTTATCAAGCAAGTTCTGAAGATCTGACATCCACAACATAAACATTTGCATTTTATTCCATTCAAACTCATGTCGCAATCGAAATCATTCAAGCTACGTTTGAAAATGTAGTTTAATGGAATTTTTTAAAAATAAGCTTTCGTGTTTTTGTTCCAAGCATTGTGTGCAAAAAATTGTTCCTGTTATTTGATGAAGATGTTTATTTCTTGTAAATAATAATAATAATAATAATAATAATAATATTTTTCCTTTGATAGTTTGAAACAGGTGATGTTCATATCCAAACTACTACTATTATTACTGCCCATACTACTACTACTACTGCTAGTACTACTACTATTATTACTACTACTACTACTACTACTACTACTACTACGCATACTACTACCGTTAGTAATAATAATAATAATAATAATAATAATGATAATAATAGTCATATCATTAGTGATAACGATAATAAAAAGACCACCTAGTTACCATGTTTATCATGTCAAAAATAAAGCTACAACACATTTTTACAAAGACAAAAAAAGACAAATAAAACTAAACTAAACTAAAATTGAACGATCAAGTAGTAGTGCATTGTTCAATAAACATTTATTTTTTTAACAATCTTTTCCATGAAACAATAATCACTAAACTGTCTGTAAGATTGTATCATTTTGTATAGTGTATGTATGTGTGTGTGTGTGTGTTTGAATATGTTCATGTATGTGCTGAAATGGAAAAAAGAGGACATATATATATATATGAAAAGTGATTTCTTTTGTGTTGACCTTTCAAAAGGTTGTTAAAATCGACCTTTTCTAACTCCTTCTTCTTATTCGCGAGAAGGCAGCACCGCCAGAGATGCCGGTTGTCTGAGGGGAACAGCTTACTGCTGTCACACCGCTCTACAGTCAGTTAGCAGTACAACTTCACTGTCAGACATTGAGTAGCTGCTTTTAGTCTCATTGTTTTCCAATCAGCCTGCCTGTCTGACATGTTAGAACTTACAGGAACATATGTTCCAGCCAATATAGCTTGGTTGGATCATCAGGATAGGTAAGCCGAGACCATCATGTCAAGATAGCAGCTATGGTTTGGATTTTCCTATCGAATCCTTTGCAAGTGCACCCACTCTTTGTGTTCTCTGCAATTCTAACCTTCTGAATTCCTCATCATCTCCATCTTTCTCCTTCTAAATTTATCTCACTGAATTATATTTCTCGAATCATATCTTCGCTCCCTAATCTTCTCCATTACTGCTAATACTTCTACTATCGCTATCACTCTTGGATTTCAACTGACAGTTGCGTCTCTGTGCTGATGTGGTGTAGCAACCTGAACTGATGTACATACGTACGAAGTTCTGCGTTGTATCTGTCTGTCTGTCACTGACTGGGAATATATATATATATATATATATATATATTTACAATCTTTACCATGAGACAATAATCACTAAACAGTCTAGAAGAATGTATCATTTTGTGTGTGTCAGTATGTTCATGTATGTGTTGATATGAACTGAACATAAAATAGAAATAAATTAGTCAGGCAAACAAAACTCTACCATTATCGTTCTAGCCTTAACATGATAAACTAGTCAGGTTATTTTCAGTGAAAGGATTGTTTGGAACAGGTGTGAATAGTGTGCATTGGTTCTGTTTCTAATGCTCGACGACTAAGGATTGATATAGTTGGAAGAAAGAGATCGACGCCTGTGTAATAAACTGGACTTGTAGGACGTAGCAGACTATTTAGTAAACAAGTTTCTTGTTTTGTGATTTGATTCTTTTAAATAATATACTCTGCGTATTTGCATGAAATCCCGGATTAATATTGTATGCTGTAGTTTTAAGGTTTTCTCTGTCTGTTAATAAACGCCGATAATACATGTTACACATATCTCTCTACCTTAGAGATTTACCATACCTGATGAATCAGTAGTGCATTTAGAAAAAAAAGTGGGAGGGAAGTAAATTCGGGATCGTACGCAAAAGTGTAAGGGTGTATTAAGATTCAATGAATAAGATCGGCTAACTGTTTCTAATACTATTTTTCATTGTAGAATGATAGAGATCGCTATTTACCAACGAAACCATGAATGAATTATTGTTAGACCACCAATAGAAACCTGAAAGGACTGAACGGATGTTTCGTCCTGGTATGGGACTCATCAATGGCAGTGCGTATCCACTGTTCTTGATACCCGTAGGATTTGAACCTAGGCTCTCGGATCCAGTGGTCTAGATGTCGGGAGATCACGTGCAAGACCAAAGTTCTTGGGTTCAAATCCTGCAAGTATCAGAAGTCATATATGCGTACTGCTAATGAGTCTAAATCTATTGACTTATTGCTATAGAAAAATTAGCTAAAATATTATTGACTATAAAATTGGCCCAATTCACATTAATTCTTTTTTCAGTGACGAAATAAAACTCCCCGAAGGCAGAAATAAAACTTAAAATGTCTATTTAATTTTAATGTGGGAATAAAATACGTTTAAGAAATTAAGGAAATTATGAATAGAAATTATGAACAAATGAATAACTGATTAAACACGACCTAATTGATTGATAATCAACCACATATCTAACTAAAATTTAACTTCAAAAGAAACTTATACAATTAACGAATAACCTAATTATTTTAAGTAAATAATAACCCTATAATGAACATTATCATATGCTCACTAGTGACTAACTATTTGCATGAAGAAATTTCTCTGAGTTCTAGTGAGAAGCTGTGACCAGTGGATTTCAACCTTGCTGGGTGTGTGAGTCAGTTTCCCACCCGATGAGGTTGCGCAAGACCGTGGATTGATCTAAGTCAGACATTCGCACCAGGTTAAGCGTTCGCCCTGGAGACCAAAGGTTCTGGATTCGATTCTTTCGGGCTGGCTTTGTGAATGCACACTGCCACTGATGAGTCCCATACAAGGATGAAACAGCCGTCTAACGCTTTCAGGTTTCTAATGGTGATCTGACATTGATCGATTTATGGTTTTGACGAAACTCAACAATCTCTAAAACCCTATAGTAAAAATTACTTATTTCAAGCGAATAACACAGTTGCTTGTATTGAAAATATGAAGGTGATAGTTTGCATAAACTTCTATCAACTGAGAAAAACATTCAAAGTTAGATGCCATGAAGAAAGGTTATTTCATTTTATAGTCTGTGACTCGTTAAGTTTTCATATATTTATTTAATTACTTACGCCTGCTACCCACAATGGAGTATTCTCCAACCTACTCGATTCTGAGCTTCCTTCTCCAGTTCTGTCCAATTTTTGTTCATTCTTCTCATGTCTGTCTCCATTTCTTGGCGTGGCGTGGTTTTTGCCCAAGATAGTTCTACTGTATGGGGCGGATACCTGGAGAACTACCAAAGCCATCATCCAGAAGATACAAGTATTTATTAACATTTGTCTACGCAAAATACTTCGGATCCGTTGGCTAGGCACCATCAACAACCACCCACTGTGGGAGAGAACAAACCAGATTCCAGTGGAGGAGGAAATCAAGAAAAAGCAGTGGAAGTGGATAGGACACACACTGTGAAAAGCACCTAACTGCGTCACAAGGCAAGCCCTTACACGGAACTCTGAAGGCAAAAGGAAAAGAGGAAGGTCAAGAAAACTATACCACTGGCTTACGTGTTCAACTTTTGGTGAATATCAAATTAAGCGCTTTTTTTACTCAATATCATTATCTATGAGAGTTATAAGTGAGCTACTGACTTTCTGTTGTTAGGTTTGACTTTACAAGTTAGGCTATTTAAAGGATAACATCAGGCTTAATTATCTCGGTATCAAGCTTTGACAGGAACATGAATGCGTTCTTCTAAGGAATCTCACACTAAAAAGAAACATTCTTTCAGTTCTGTCTTGTCTAACTTAAGTTCATCTGATGTACAAAACTTCAATAAGTCCATATCAAAGCTAGTTATTTATAGACATCGACCTAATAATTACAAGTTTTGGGTTTTTAAAGATTTTTTTGATAAATATAACTGGTGCGTTAACTCTCAAATGTAAAACTAACATTTTGAACATAAAATGTTAATAAATATAGAAATGTATCGTTTTACTAAGCAGAAAATAAACTTTATTTACTTTTTTTGTTCTGTTTACTTGTTCTAATGTTGTAGTGGTCTAAAATTTTCACGCTATTCACTCCTAGTTTCACTTTCCAGTCCCGTTGAATTTAGAACTTGCATGATTAGTAATGATTGTTGATTTCTATCTGTCTGTATTAAATGTAAGTGCATTTTGTGCATTGGCTAAGTTATCGACTCATCTCTTCAACTGTTCTTCTCTTTTCTAGTTCTCCCTAATACATGATACTCTGTATGCTCCCTTAGTAGTACGCACAAAGTACCTTCTGACTTGATGTGAACTACTTACACTATCCTTTGTAATATTTCTTTCTATTTATGGTGAGTTATACTAATCGTTTGAATTTTTTGATTGATTTTCACTTGTCCATACAATTTTTTAAAAAAACGTTCAGACATTTAATTGAACAGTGATAAATACTGAATGTTTCGTAAGTGACGAAAAATTCATTAACAGACTGTTCATCTTATGAAGATTTTGTGGAAATTAAATCGATTCAAAAGAGAAATATAAACCAATGCTATCTATAAAATCTGAAGTACATTGGTTCTGATCCCTATTGAGGTCGTAGTGGTATATTATTATACAGGATGAAACAATAGTTTACTTAACTAAACCTGTTACTCCAAATGGAGCATAGATCACCGACCAGCATTCTCGAACTTAATCTATCCAGGACCTTTCCTTTCAGTTTTATCAAATCTCTGCTCATTCTTTTGATGTCTGCTTCCAATTATCAACTCAGTGTGTTGTTTGGTCTTGAGGATTCCATGTTAGGGATTGACTCGTGATGCCGTTGTATGATTTCCTCAATGTGTGTTCTATGCACCTCCGACACTTTTTCCTAATTTCTTCCTCATCTAGAATCTGGTTTGTTCCTTCTCATAGTAGGTTGTTACTGATGATGTCTAGCCAACCGATTCGAAGTAGCTTGTGTAGACAACTGTTAATAAACACCTGTGTCCTTTGTATGATGATAGAGCTGTCTTGACGTTGCATTGATGATTGTGGCTTTAGTGTTGGTTGATAGACAGTCTTTTTGAGTTCCAGATGTTCAGTTGTAAGAATGCTGCCCCTGCTTTGCCAATCCGTGCTTTTACGTCTGCATCAGATCCACCCTGCTCATCAGTGATGCTGACCAGGTGTGTAAAGGTTTCCACATCTTCCAGAACCTCTCCTCAGAGTGTGATTTGGTCAGAGTATGTTGTGTTGTATCCGGTGATCTCGCCTCTCTACTTGTGTATGTACAGGACTACTGTAGTGAAAGAGAACACAGGCGGGGCAACCGGATTGTATTTAACGAAAATTACAGAGTTACTCAGTAAAATCGGAAAACCATATCGTAAATCGTTCATTTGCAAAATATCAG